GAGAGGGGGAAGGGCGCGATTCCGCAGATTCATCATCAGCTAGATATTTACACATTTGCAAAACTTACACGCAGTCTTACACGACGTAGTATAAAACGCGCTTCGGAATAAATGAATTAATACATTCTAGTGTATCGTTATTCGAATAATCGCAATCGATCGCCGCGCGCGTAAACCCGTCTCACGTCGCAAATCCCGCAACACATTGATACTTTAAATAGAGTCGTAATTATTATTATATTGTAATTATTATATATATATATATATATATTGTGTATATGATGCACAGTACGGAGCGCGAATTTCATTCGCCCGATTCAGCTGGCGAAGTTTTTAATTACAAAGAGATACTTACTGTTATGTAAAATAGTTTGGTCGCTCCAAAATATATATTGCTCTTTCAGTAGCGAGGGTGTTTCACTTCGAATTCTGAAGTCGCGTACCTTCAAAAGCCTGAAACAACACAGGAAAAATGTTACAGAAAGGGAGGCTTTCGCGTAGAAAGAGCCTTCTGTATATATATGAGGAAAAAAAATTGGATTGTACAGCATTCTCGCTAATTGGACAATGAGAAAACCCTACGTTGTGCCTTTTGAATAACAGCAATCTTAAGCAATCTGACTTCGGTTTCCCGTGCGATATCGCATCATTAAATAACCATTCTCGACGATCCCTCGGGATCGTCATCGCGCGCATTCGCTCGAAGCCATCGCTTTGTTCCCCGCGAAAGCGAGCGTATCCTTCGCTTCTTGTTTCTCGGTATCGAGATATTTTTAACGCGCCGCGTCGGCGGATGTCAATAAACGCAGAATTAGACGGGTTTACGCACAAGACTTCGCGCGGAATCGCGTACAGATCCACGTCGACTTAATCGCGCTCGTGTCTGTCAAAGTTTCGCGATGCGTCCTCGATGATCGTCGGCGATCGTTTATCTCGATCGACGGTTACTACGATGGAAAGAATACGTATTCGGAGGTCCATTTCTTTAAAAACTCTTAGGGGCGGCTCTCCCAAGGGGAGAAACGTCCGTCCTGATCACGAAAACAATTCTCCCTCGCTTATATACCGAGCGTCTCGCGCCAAATTTTCTTAACTTCGTTAGGACATGCTGATACATCGTGTATTCTTTCTACCGTGGTCGTTACCCCCGCAGTCGTCGTCGTGATTCCGCCACGAAGCGAGTACCAATCATTTGGCCTCCGCGCAACCTACACCTACAGATCACCAAAGCAAATTTTGAACGTGTGTTAAACAATTTATACACGGAGCATCAGAGTTTTATTATAACGCGTGACGACGATGACGACATTGCTGACTTTGCAAACGGCCATGTTCGTAAGAGATATGTTACATAGTGTATATATATATATATATATATAGAGAGAGAGAAAGAGAGGGACAGATGTTGTACGTGCAGGATGAGACGAGCAGAGCGCCCGCGTCTTTCTTCCTTTGACATTTTATTAGTCGCTCGAATAAAATTGCTGATTTTCAAGCGTTTCACTCTCGAATGCTGCATTTTTCTTCGGACGCTGGCTATCGTTTCCCCTAAAATGTCGGTCGGAGGACGGTTTTACGTGAGCGCGTCTCGCCTTGCACGCATGCACGCACGCACGCACGAGCGAACATTCGTCGTCGTAAGTATAACGAATTAAAGAGAGCGTTATCGCAGTCACGCGGCGGCGTAAGCTTAACTTAAGTAGGCGGCGAGATAAAACAAAAACAAAAGAGAGAGATATATAATATATATATGTATGCGTGTATGTATATTTAGTGCGGATTGCGCGATCGTTATTTTTCTACGTCTGCATCCGCGATCCGCGTAGGAAAGGGACGCGGCGGGTCGAGATGGGCAACGACGAGGAAGCCGGCGTGTGCTGTTGCCAGCACTTAAGAGGCGGCTATGCTCGTCGACAGGAAGTCGACGTGTGGGAGGGTAACGATCGCTGAAATTCGGAGAGAAAGAGAAAGAGAGAGGGAGAGAATGTTTTCTCGCTGGTCGAGAACGCGAGCGATGAGCCTCGTAACTCGCTCGGCAGAGGCCTTTAAGGATGAGGACAGCGACGGACCTGATAACGAGAACAAAGGCCGTGTTCAGCAAACGTTGTCACGGTGATGTAACAGTCTTGATGCAATTGAATGTGATTGGTGGATTTACGAGCGGAACGCACTGAGGATAGAGGATGTTAGGATGACATCGTCGTGAGTTTGTGTCTCGCTGCACGGCCAACATAATCGAGCTACGGGTAGGAGCACGAATATACAAATGGGAATACATATAAAATATACCCATTTTTAAAATTAGCTTTTGATCTACAAAATTAGACATTTAATGATTAATTTTATAGAATATGTGGTATATTTATGCTTTTAAATTTATATGCGTTTCTCGGTGAGATAAAAATAAAATGTATAAATCGTCATGAACATATTTTTATATTTCTATCTCATGTTCTTGCTTATGCCGTTCTCTCTCTCCGTCAATCAGATTCGATTGCTATTCAAACCGACTGTTGGATCTACTGAACGCAGCCACTAATGACAGTGACAGTGCTAATAACAGTAATAATGATTAATGACCATTGCGACGACGATGACAACTGACAACAACGACGACTAGAACATCGAAGCGCAGAGATGTCGTTGCAGATGACACAAAATGTTTCGAAAATAACGCGTCAGAGAAAGACGTTCGCTACCTTCACAAACGACGAACCGGATGAGCACCATTTGGAAATTATTGTACAAATAATTCACCCTATCCTATCGACGTCGAATTCTCGCTTTGACGAAGCTTCTAGGAGAGTTTTGTCCGACATTATAATGTCCTCGTAGCTTTTCTACGTATACCTATTATAACTGCAAATTCACGAATCTCGTCGCGGTTTTGTCCGACGATTTCACACCGGCGAGTCCGAGACTCTGAATCTGAAATCGCTTCAAGACGCGCCGCTAAAATTAAACGTTCAACTCCAAGAAGTCTATCCGTGGAAAAGTAAAACATAATGCAAACGACACGAAGGGCACACGTCGTCAATTCTGAATTTTCTCGAGACACATTTGTCGCTTTTAATCTTTTAAAGATTGCGTTTCGCCGCGTTAACGTTGCTTTCGCTTCGCGTTGGAGGAACGGTCGGAGGGAAGTAGTTTTTATATCGCGCATCTGTAAAAATAGCCCTTCGACGGCACGATGCGTGCGTATGCGCGCAGCTGCGTGCCCGCATCTCGTTCTCGTTCGGAGACGATCATCGTTCTCCGTTGCGTTTCGTATATCGCCGGCCTTCCCCTCCGGTTTCCGAGCACCCGGGATCGGGATCGCGTCGCGCGACCGATCGACCGGGTTTCGCGCCATCGACGTTGTCCCTCGGAATCGCGGCGTCTTGGAAACGCACGACGGACGACGACGACGAAGATGACGCATTAAAAAAAAAAGTCCCAGACGAAAACCTTGCTGGATAACCGTCGATCGTTCTTATATATCGAAGTACCACGAAAATATCCGATGGTCCGTCCGGCTTATTGTCCCGTACCTTCGAGGCCCTTTCCTTGCTTCCTCTTCCGTTTGGCCTCCCTTCCCGTTTCCCGTGTTGTAATATGTGCAAATAATTCGATAATAATCAAATCGCTTGTACTCGTAATAATATATATTTTCGATACTACATTCGTCGAACGTGAGCAATTGTATTTACGTAGAGACGGTAAAGAGTGACGCGAGGGTATACGTCGCGTACAAATCTACATCGGAGCCGGTAGACGTTGCGCGTTGGTCAAAATAAACGTACGTTTAACTCCCTTCCCAGCGATTCCAACTGTCGTTTCTAGAGACAGAAACGGAAAAAGGCAGATGTAATCTCGGTTAAACTAACGTGTTTTTTTTTCCAAATAACGTTAATGAAACGTTTAACGTACGTAATATCTCGCGAAACTATACGCTGGGCGTTTAATCGACGTTTGTGCACGTGTTCCGTGATGTAGATTTATACGGGACAGGCGACGGACAGCTCCAGCTGAACGAACGCGGCCGCGATCTCCGGAAACGCCTCCTTGGCGATTAGCATCGCGAGTGCATCGTCCTTCCCCGATGGAGGCGCGCGACGGAGAGACGCGCCGGTAGAGGCGAATTTGCAAGGCGGTTTTCGCTTTTCACGATCGTCTTGAATGAATCATCCAAAGTGAGGGGCGAAAAAAAAAATGAATCACGCCGAGCAACGACGAGAGGAGTAGAGGCAGGCATCTTCTATTTCTGCGCGCTTTGCTTCATCATCCACGATAGATCTATCGCGACGCGTATTCGACGCTGACTCACCCGCGAATAATCGGGCCGTTGCGTTGGAACGTTTCATGGAACCCCAGTTTGCATAATTATCGTGATCATAAAATGATGTCGTAGACACCTGTGATTTTGAGATTCAAAAGATCGCAGAGATTTGTTCGGATCGTCAAGCGTACCGTGGACAATTAGGTACTGGCGAACAATCGGTTATGCAATGCTTTCACTTTGAAGGACTTTTTCTGAGATAATCTCGAAATGCAGACCGCCGTAAATCCGCTTTGGGCAGAAGTAATGTCGGCGATGCACCGATTTGTCGACGGATGGAATGTTAGACGCCGCGCATTCAATCACGACTTCCCCAATAATTCGATCGCAACGTGTGTCGATTAACGTTTCGTCCGTGATATCGAATTGAAGAGGACCGCGAGAGACTGTCTTACGAAAGATGAGATAATACTCGTCGAAGATAGCGCCCAAATGTCGAAAAGCGCGCAAACATTTCCAAGAATTTTTAAAAATGTTCCGTGCTCTCTCACTTTTCGATAAAGGACTAAATTAATTATATGTCATATCGCGCATCCACATGTACAAAGTAATTCAGATATCAATTTCCCTCCGATTTTTTATCGAGATATTTTTTATATTGGCCGCGTTCAGCAGACACAACTGTTGAGTTCGTCTTATCAATACTCTATGTTGATTGGTTGGTTCTAAAAGTAAGAGCCACGCACGTTCAACTGCTACTGAGCGGCTTGGTCTGCTGAACGCGCCCATTCTCTATTCAGTTGACAATCTTTTTTTTAGAAGGCAGTCTTTTCGGCGTTTTTTTGTATACGTGTCTCGCGAGGGTTACTTGAGAATCGATTGGCAATATCGAGGAGGGGGGGGGGAAGGAGAAGTTTCATATATGAGATAAAAACGAGTTTGTTTGATCAATACGTTGCAACGACGAGATTGGTGACAAGAATAAAGACAGTGACGAAGCAACGATGATAACGACGACGATTACGACGACGACGACGACGACGACGATGACAATAACAAAGAAGGCGATGTCACAAAGAAGGAGGGGAATGGAAGAGTGTGCGTGGTGTGCTTCGTTGACTTTCGTTAATCTTTTCCAAAATGTACATTAAAGATATATCAGCTTTTGCGCGACGACGGCTGTAAAATATAACAAACAAACAAAAAATAATAGGGCTTTCCTTCGTTAAGCGAGGTAAGACGAGGTTTAACGTACTTTCTCCGAGAACGATACTGCCGTTATGCATGTATAAAAGAGAAACTAAGTTAACTAATCGTAAATGCACGAAAATTTTCTTAAACGGATAGCAAGAAAAATGGCTTTGTAGTGTCTCGATATTCTCGAATCATTAATCCTACGTCGTGAGATAATAAATAATGATATTAATGAAATAAAAAAATAATTAATTAATTAAATACGAAACAAAAATCCTAGAACGCTGGGCTATAAAGCATTGTAAAGTGTCAAGCTACGGAGCCTGTCGGCCAGTATAAATGAACAAGCAACTGCCATGGGTCCTCAAAAGCTAGGTAGAAACGTGCTAAGAATCCAATTTTAACGAAGAAGCTAGCTGTCGAAATATTTAATGAAAAAAAAAAGAAAAAAAATGCGCGAAGGATCGTCCATTAAAGACAAACAAATCTGCGGTACGTGTGTGTATGGGTATGTGTGTGTGAGTGTGTGTGTGTGTGTGTGTAATACGCGCTCGCGCGTGTCGTGCGGCACGCGGTCGCGCTCGCACGCAAGACGAGACACGCGCGAAAACGAGAAAAAACACAGAGAAGCTCCTCCGTTGAGAATATGACATTCATTACTTACACTTTTATTAACAGAATAAATAACAAAAAAGGAAATATATATATATAAATATAAATATAAATATATGGGTTATTTGCACAATATTATAAATAATTACTATGTTTACTACGATTATTAAATTAAAGAGCAAATATAATAAGAGGATAAAAAACTGTTGTTAAATAATTAATACAAAAAAGAGGGGGGGAGTGAGCGAAAAAAAAAATAATAAAACGATTTACGCTAACGATCGACATTGGGTCAAAACGGGAAAGCGAAAGGAGGACGCGATGAAACGAGGATACGATGAGGGAGAGAAGGAAGAATAAGAAGAGAAGAAAAAAAAGGAGGAGGAGGATATGATTCGTTTGTTATCGATTAGTTAACGATCCTTACACATTATATTATTGTAATTATATAAAGTAAATGATTATTATCATAATAGTTACAATTAACAAGTTGTTACCGCTTTGTTATACATAATATAATTAATAATAAGATTAAATAGTAAGCGAATGCATCGTTGATTCGTCCTTTACTTATGTAGATACTAAAAAATATCGATCGACTATATTGTTTTCAATGTCTTCACCGTATCTCTTCGTTTGCTACCCGCGTTCATTTCGTTGTCGAAGATTCGGTATTGTCGGCTTACCTCGCCCGGCCACAATATACACACGTTTTACAGAGATATTTTCAATAAACGAAAAAGCTTAACACTCACACCGTTGTATTTGTTCATCACTCTGTCGTCCCTGAGATTCGAGATTCTAATCACCGGCTCGTATCAGCGAAAATGAACGTGACAGTGACAATACTGACAATAATATACTTGTGTCAAGTAGAAGCGCATATATTTTATATTATCTCTTAAAGATTAGATATTTAGCTTATACAATCTCTAAACCTGTTTAAAGAAAGACTTATCAGTTTTAGCGAAATTAACGAATATAAAGAGCTCGGCGAAATATGTATTTGCGGAAATTTGCGAAAACGCTGGTTAGAACGCAGTGACGTTCGTTTCTCAATAACATATTGTTTCGCAGCTGTCTGGAGGAACATTTAATTACAAACGCAGCCGATGCAAGTAAAGGCCGCAATTTCCGAAAGGCAAAAACAAATTGGTTATTAAATTATACAAAGTAGCAATAAAGACTTTTTATCAAACGACGTTTCGATTGTCGATTATAATTAACAAAGATAGCCAGTTAGGTCGAATAAAAAACCTTTTAATTATTTACTAGCAGAGTAAAAGTTTCTGATTTGGTTTAATTATACAAACTAACTTATAACTACGAATTAACTTATAGCCGAATCGCGGATAGCGCGTAAATATACACTCTGAATTTAATTTACTCCAAGTTGCTGCTCGTATATCTTTTTGTGCGATATCTTCCGACAGATTGTCACTATCATTCAAGTATTACGACTCTACCTAACTGACTTGAGACGAGCTTCCTGGAGCTGGAGAGGGAATGAGACAACGGGTTAAGAAACGCTATCATTAACGCCGTCCACTGTACAATCTTGTAGACGTGGTGCGGCGACGCGTGGGTGCTCGCTCGAGGATTTTTACACGAAGATCGTGCGCGGAGAGCGAGCGAGCGAGCGAGCATGGGTGGGGTCTCGAGGACGAATCGCTGCCAGTGCCTACTGCCTCGTAAGTTCGGTGCGAGCAGCCGGTCTGGACGGTCTGGTACCGTCGCCGTCGACGCCGTCGTGCCTTCTACGAACGCTGGCGCGACGCTCGCCGAGTAATGGCCGTTCTGTCAGTTCTGTGTGTGCTGCTCCGAGACTCGGATACATACTTCCTCCGTGCGGCGAGTCTGCGTAAGAAAGATGGACGTTTCGAGGTCACTCGGGCCTCCTCGCGGGCTCTGAGAGAGTTGTCGAATCAGTGAAATTGGAGCGGCGAGAGGCGTCGCGCCGTATCACGGATCGGAGTCGATTACGCGCGGCACGGCACGGCACGGCGCGACGGCGAGGCTGTCAAAGATCCCTCGCCGAGGAAAACGAGAGAGACCGAGGCCGAGGAGCGACGGCGGACGGCGCGCGCGCGGTTAATACGACGTTCGTTATCGCGCTTATCGGGCGTCCCCGACGGCGACGACGAGCACTGACCTCGCGTGCAGCTGCAGCGTCGCCGCGGGCTTCAATGATCGAGTATCTGGCACTCGTGACTCATTGTCACTTGGCGACTTGGCAGGTCCAGGCTGAGGAGGAAGGAGTCACGTCGATTTCGACATCGAGGAGGTTAGCGCACAGCAAGGTAGCGACGCCGCGACGGTGTATTTATAATCGGAGCGAGAGAGCGCGGCGACGGCGAGTTTTACTTATCGCGAGGCTCCGACGTTTTCTAAGAATGCCGAGCCGAGTAATCTCTCAAATATGCGTGTGCGCGCGTATCGTACCAAAGATACTCGAGATGCTTTCTTTCCGTTGAAAAGAACGTTTGGCATAATGAGATTTAAAGGACGACAGTACTGAACACGTGGCCGTCAAGTTTGCACTGTATACTCGGCGAGTACGTTCGTTGAATACAATATAATCAATATATGGGAACGTATGAAACTTTAACGTATGAATGACTTTAATAAAGTCTTGCACTTTCTATATTCTTCTCGCAAAGTGTTCCGCGCGCGCGTTTGTTCATGATTTCCTCAATTAGCATTACAAATTAATTTATGAAACTAGTAATTTTGGTTCTTTAAATAAAATTATTAAAATCATGCTTTGTGTGTGGTATTCATTGAAACGTGTTACAATATATCATTACGTAGAAATTAAATTGTGAGATAAACCAAATATTTTTCTTCTAGGTATTTTAGCATCAGCGAAGCTTGGTGATATCTACTATGGAGAAAAAGGGGCTGCGCAAGAGAGATATATTGAGGATGGACGGTCTCCTGCCTCCAACTCGGCGTTTGCCAGTTTGTGACGCAGTATCCAGTGCATCCGATAAGAAAAAGGACAAGAAATGGTCTATAGGTGGACTGCTGCGAAGAATATCTTCGATAAAGGATTATGACAGTTCCTCTAATGATGAAGAAATCGTCTATTGTAAAAGAACACCGAAAAAACCTAGCAAGCTCAGGCACGTCGACGGTGTTGTTCTACATTCAATAGAGAACAAGGCGGATCACGATAAACGGATAAAAATCGAAAATAATGTTCGCCACGTGATGGATTCGCCGCATTCGTGTCGAGACTCGTTGCATTCGCGTAGCAGCGACGGTTCGTTGGACGGTTTAGGGAAGAAGTCTCGAAGGAACAAACTGAAAGCTCGGGCCGAAGCGAAGAGGGATCATTTGTGCGCTGGCAGCAGTTCCGACGAAGACTCTCGCAGATCCAACAGCTCTTTAAACAGATTTAACGTCGCGGATAGCGCGCTGAATGGCCAGAAGAACAATATGTGCAATAGGAAAACTCGTGCCGCTCGAACGGAGCGTTACATCAAGCGCTTATCTCGGGACGAAGGCAATGGCAGCGGCGATACTTTGAACGACCTATATAACAAAAGGTGTTCCTCGGACTACATCGAAGATAAGGAACGCACTGTTTACGCCGACACGAACGGATTGTGTCGTCCGCCGATACATCCGCGTCGATCGATCGTGTACTCGAACACGCGCGCGTTTCCAGCTCAAAAATCTTCCATGGAAAGTCTGCGGGATGCGGAACGCGCGAATTTACCGTATTCCGGTGAAACTTTCGCTGATGTCAGGAGATATTCTACAGGTCAATACATCACGGACTTGAATCAGAACAACACTTACGGGAAGATCTCGCGACATCACAGCGGCGACGTGTACGCGGACGGCCATCGAGCTAGGAACTTCTTTACATATCCCGCGAAAAACGCCTGCCATTACTCGGAAACGTTCGACTACAACGTTGATCGCCGATTAATTAATTCAGACAATCAGCCACCCGAGCCACCTCCGAGGGATCCTCGTTATCGCGCGTTCGGTTACGGATGCAGTTCCTATCCGATGAACAGACATCAAAATGTGCCAACGTACTTCAAACAAGAAGATAATAATAAGACTAATGTTGCAAGAGGAGCATCGAGACCCACCTGGAAGAATATTCGATCATACGGATCGAACAACGAGATCGCCTGGCGCGATACGATGGAACGCGAGCTAGGAAACTCGAGTTCTAAAACAGAGTTTCGTAATTCGCTGGAGCGCATAAACAATAAATATAATTCGAGCCATCACTGCGCGAACGAGTCGGCCTACAGGGAAATCGAAACGACGAGACGCAGAAACATTCGCAACGATCAGCTCAATCGCAACGACGCGAATTACCGCGTGTACAAGGCCAAGAATAAATCAGCGAACTTCTGTGAAACGAATAATAAACATTACGAGGCGATTTCATCGCACGCATCTGCGTCGGATTGGTCATCTGGAAGATCTCCCTGCGAACAACATATCACGCCTACCATTACTCCGTCGACATGTGACATCAATTATCGTGCTGAGGAGAGCAAAAAAGAGAACAATAGAGAAACGACCGAGGAAACTCTGGAGAGACGGAGAAGCTCGAAGAACCTCGAGGAAGCTTTGTCAGAGCTGGAAGCGATATACAACAGTCTTCGCCTCGGCGACGAGGACCTGCTGGATCGCGCGGAACGCCGAAGCATGGAGGAGTTTAATCAGAAGCAAGGTAAAAACGAGATCGACGCGATTGTGGTTACCCCGGACTCGCCGGACAGGACGAAGGACGACATGGCCTACCGAAGGATGCATCCCAAGGAGAGACCCACGTCGCTCTCGGATATCGCGGGACAGTCGACTCTGTCCAGCATCAGCTATCTCATCGCCTCGCCCGTCCTTTCGCGAAGGGACTCGGCGGATGATCTCGTGCGCTTGCCGTCGGCATATCCGTCTCGTCGGGACGAGCCGGACGTGACTCGCGACGACGTGCTCTTCCGCAGTATAAGTCACGCCAACAACACGCTCCGGGTGGTCGACCCGCAGCCGCCGTTCGGTATACCGCTCGGACCCGTCACCGCGGCGACCGAGAGCGATTACCTGCACACGACACCGACGAAATCGGAACAGCCGCGCTCGTCGTACATACCGCAGTGCGAACCTGACGTGATCACGGACGACTTGGCTTACAGATCCCTCAGGAAGGACGCCGTCGCGGCGCGGGGCGTCACGGAGAGCAAGATCGACGTGTCGAAGGAACAATCGGAGGCCGTTACTCGCGGCAAGAAACGCGCCGTTAGATCGCTGTCGGCCAATCTTTACGGGCTGATCAATCACGATCGGATTCACCTGCGACGCGAGCCCAGTCTCGACGCCATCAAAGATGAGATCCAGGACGTCACGAGGAACCTTGCCGCGATGCCCGAGCGACCAGAATATCTCAGGCGCGTCGTGAGCGACGGCGAGTTGTCGGATAACGAAGCGCATAGGTGGAAAGAACTAGCGGTAAAAGGTGATATCGATATCAACGGCAACCATCCGGCGGCAGGCGCGTACCGGAAGAAGATATGCGCCTACGTATCACCGGATACGACGACGACCACGCGAGAAAGTCCGAAGAAGGAGAAGGAGTCGGGTAACGCGGAGCTATCCGACGTCATGCTATCTTCAAAGGCCATCCTGAACGACGGATTTTGGCACGAGTACCTGCATTCGGATTCCAACGTTTCGGCGGCCAATAGCGGTCACAACACGGAGACGGACTTTACCGCGTACAGTCGCCTCTGCCAAGATTTAGTTAATTTGATAAAAGACGACGATGACGCGGCGTCGCCGGCGCCGATCGAATCGCCGAACGCGGACGATCCCGTCGTTGCCGATAAGTCGAACGACTTCGGCGTCGACGTCGAGGTCGACGAACCTCCGACGAGTATACGTATACGTTCCTTGGGTAGCCATTATTCGGACTCGCAGCGTGGTGCCAACACTGCCAACAACGAGCGGAATGTCGGGAGCGAGAAGACGGCGAGCCCGACCGATTCGAATTCCACGAGGTCTTCGTCGGACTCGACGTCTACGCCGCCGCCGGCAGCCAGCAACCTTGATTTCTATCTTCGCGTGGCGGATGAGAACGTCAAGCTGATCGCGGAGGCTTTCGGCAACGTGGCCGACAGCTTGCGCGACAGTCAGCTATCCGCTCGCAAGAACTCTTCGGTGTCCCGTGGCTCCGAGATCGAGGACCAAAGTAGTAGCGCGCGCAACAGCTCCACGCCCTACAGCCAGGACGAACCGACGAGCGACGATCGGCCTATCGTCACTCCGAGACTCGAGGAACGTGCTCGTGGAACTTCAAAGCGCGATTCCTTAACGAGCGACGATTGGGACCAAGGTGATGCCAACCGCCTCGAGGACGACGTTTCCACCGCCGACGCGGAGCTGGACCTGTCCAGGGCCGTTCGCGACCTGCAACTAGCTGCGGCCAGTCTCTACGAGCACGAACAGGAGATCGAGGAGCTGGCCACCAGACGCGGAAGGACCGCCGCGACCAGCGCGGACGAGAGCGAGGACGGCGCGATCCGCAAGATCGGCTTTATCGGCGACGCCCTGAGGCAGGAGCGGGAACGCGATCAGGAGGAAACCGTGGTCCTGCCTAGCGGAATCGAGGCGCGAAGCGGGAAGAGTCGCGAAGGTGAGCGCACAGTGTGCGAGCTTGATCGCACGAGATCGCGGCGCGCCGGGGACGACGCCGACGACGGGCGCGTGAGCTTGAGGCGCGTCCCCCGTGTCACTAACCTCTTAACCGTCCCGGTAACGACACGCACCATGCTCTTGCTCGCTTGTCTCCTTGCATTGCTTTTAGCGATCGTAACGGTGCCCGTGAGGGGCTGCCCGGCCGATCATTAGCGCGAATGGGGTTTTATGTGCTCTCTCTGTGTGTGTTGCGAGTTGCGAGACGAGGATCGCGGCCGGAACACGCGCTTCCCGTTCGTCGCCATCGTCTGCATCGTCATCGTCACCGACGGTAACGCCTCTAATCTCTGTGTGTTCATTTGCATATGTTACTAATGTCGCAGGTCTCCAGGCGCTCGCTCGTTCGCAGTGACGAGATCGTCGCCGAGATGCGCTCCAATGCGCTCGAGCTCGAACTTGGACGTTGGTCGTTGATCGGCGGTGGTAGGGTGACAGGTGACACGAGGCAGGTTGATTTTTTTGTAAGAAACGAGAGAATAAGAAGGAGAGAGAGAGAGAGAGCGAGAGAGAAAGAGCGAGAGATGCAGTTGCCGCGGGCTGCTTTTGAGGCACATCGACTTTGTTGTTGTTGCTCTTGTTACTCTGTTGTTGGTTTTAATAAAGTTTAAATGTTAATCCTTCCAGTGATTTCACTGGTTTTACTGCGCACAAGTATACTCCCGCGCTGTGACGCAATCCATTCCAGGTGTTCCGGTTCCTCTCGATTATTTTAATTTTGTTACAATATTTATGGGATATTAGATACAGAAATTAAGAAGAAAAATTTTAAAAAAAGTGTCGGTTTTAATGGACAATAGGGTAGACGTTTCCTAATTCTATTTTTGTTTAATATAACGAGTACTTATATATAATATAGTATTGTGTAAATAATTATCCAACTTTTTTCAAGTTTTGTTATTCTGTCGTTTCCTGAAATAGTCATTTTTATTGATTTTTACAACAAGTCTATCTTATCTTTTGTTATTCGAGAATTCGGGCCGGCAACGATTCAACAATATACATATATCTTTAGCCTATACATAATTCGCATGGATATCCGATTTTTTTCGATTAACATTTAACCTCCCGCGAGCCCAAGACGCAACATTCGACGATTTATTTTGCACGTACGTATGATAAATGATAAAAATGATATGTCTCGCGCGCCGTCGATAAATATACGTGCTACGGTATCTCCGCTCGCCTGATAAAACGTTTGAATAAAAAAGCGCGGGGACGGCATCGCCCGCATTCCACCGAAAGCGGGCTTCGATCAATTCCACACGGACGCGATCCATTCGGCCGATTTCGCAGCTCGGTTGACGGGAGGAAAAAATCGTGATACGTCCTCCTGTTGTACCTGCACAACGCATATATGGACAACGCATATGCCATCGATCGCCGATGCATCGCGCCAACGTGAAATTCGTGCGAGCGTAGGGCACGCGAGTTTCAAGTTATCGATCGCGGGCCGACGGGCGCGTGACGTCACCGAGGATCACGCCACATCCCCGCCCACTACGACTCGCCGTCCGATTGGTCCGCGCGCAAGCCGGCCGTCTATCGTCTATATCGAGATCCGCGCCGCGGCCGCCCGCGCGCCCGTCGCGTACCGGCTGTTCGCTGTTCCGCCGAGTCGGGCTGCCAACAGTCCGCGGGCAAGTACTTGAAGTACTACGTTCCGGACGCGCGTTGTAACGTAGGCGATGAGTTTCGTCTGACACCGACCCACGCAACTGGAACGAGTTTAACTATCGCGCGGACTACCGAGCCGAAAGCCAAAAGTCTCAGCATCGTTTTGGACGAATAAGGTAACGTAGCCCCGGCGGAGATCTCGCCTCGCGAAAGTTGAACGGAGTCTGTTAAGTACGCGCTTAGAGACTTTGTTGATATCGTCGAATATCGGTTTGCGCCACGTTGAACGGATGTAGCGACGTTTGCCTCTCGTTTACACCCTAACGACGCTAAACGCTGCTAAACGAGAACCGTGGAACGTTTCACGGGCATTCGAGGTAAGAAGAGCCCAGCGGAGATCGGAATGTTTACCGTTTTTCGACGTGCACGCACGTTACCGTATGGAATGTATGAAACTAACGTGTATCTTTGCAGGACGGCGTGAACGGTAGATTTATTATAGATTGACCCAGTAACGATAATCGCTTGAGATATCGTTGTGTATTAACGCGTAGATTGTTGCACGATGTATATTAATTGCCCGCGTAAACAAGTGACGCGCATAAATGGTTCCTCCCTCGCTCAAGTATCGCTTTTTCTTTTGCGGTCGATTATTAAGTTCAACTCGCAATGCGGTATTTTTGGCGCCTGGTCGCCGTTTGACCAGCACGTGCTACATGCGCGACTTTCTGATTGTGAGTGACCGGCACGAATGCACGATCGTATTGCGGCCCACGCAAAGGGGCACACGACCGATGCGATGCAATACCGAAGAGAGAGAATAGAAAGGCATCCATTTAAAAATCACCTGCTTTTCCTTCGACTTAAGAAAAAAAAAAAACGAAGAAGCATACGTGAGAATCGGACTTTTCTCTCATTCTCTTTTATTTTAAAGATGTACGATTTCCGAACGTTTTCAATGGAACGCTCCGATTTTTCAAGATTTAGATCCGAGTGTAACGAAAGAGCGATCGTCCACAGAAAAAAAAATAAGTGTCAAATAAAACATATATTCAAATTAACGCGTTTATATTGTTTCGTATATACGTAACAATTTATAATCTTGTAACAATATCAACCTTTTATTTCAACTTGTTTTCTTGGTTGAATTATATAAAAGACATTCTATTTCACGATTTCCACTATTTCCATTGAAACTGAAGATACTTTCAAAACAAAAATATTCCTTTTTTTCGTGTATTTACGCATTAGCATGCGCGTTCGACGAGTGTTTTTGAATGCCGGATCGGTGTTTGGCAAGTGCCGGGCGCGTGTTACCGTCGTGCGTTGAATATTTCGGCTCGTCTTGTTTGTATATTAGTGAAAACCAAACACGCTGTACGTACGGCCTCACGCGCGTTTTCGAAGCGAGGTCAAGGGTGACGGTGCGAGACGGCGATACAAATCAAGGATCGACCGTTTTCGAATTAACCGTGCCGCAATGAGAAATTCTCGGCGAAGGGAGCGCGGGGGAGCGCGGCTGTTCGAAAGAGGAGTCGTTGTCGAGACCGGAAACTCGCGAGTGGATCGCGAGACACGCCTAAGGACTAATTAGGTCTCGTCTTAGGACCTTTTATCTTTGTAAACCGTGTCGCCTGAAAGAAGAAAAAAGGGAGAAGCACCTGACCGAGAGAAGGCCGTGCCGCGCCGCGCCGCGTCGCGTCGCGTCGCGCCATGCCGACAGGAGACGCTCGTGGCGTCCCATCGATCCCGCTAGTTTCAGGCGGCAAGATGGCCGCGGCGTTGATCCCTAGGTTGGTCCGTGTTCCACGTCGGCGTCGTCAGTGCGTACTGGTGTCCGAAGCCGGTCGTGCGGCACGCGCGTGATACGACGGGTGTCAGGAGTTCGTCGAGACGCGCGCGGAAAACGGCGTCGAGTGGAAGATACGGAGGATCCAGTGGCGACGATGACGTCGCCGATCGAGCGTCATTGAGGATAGATCGCGTCAGCGGAAACCCGAGGCGGAGGCTGCGGAAATACTCCGACACGTGACGCGAAGATCCCCCCGCGGGACAGGAAGCCCTTCGCCGCGCGACGCTCCTCGGCCACGACCCGCGATAATGTAAGCGACGTTTTCGTGATGCTTCGATATACAGGGTGATCCGGGAAGAGGTACCTCGCCGTCGCGTTTAAAAGACCATTTTTCAACAGAAGTGTCGAGGCTTTTTGACAGTATCTGATAGCATCTGATTTTTTAGATAGGGGAAGGGATTGACACATAAATTGACGAGTAATGCACAACGGATTTTACACAATTGTTCATTAGCCGCTGAGTATATTCTCTGAGCATATTTTGTGATGGTTGTCGGAGCCAGAGTTGCTCTGCAAATTGGTGTTTGTAATTAAAATCTGAACCCTCAGCTAGTCCATGAACATTGAAAAAGTTCTGAGAAAGTGATTGAAAAATTGATTGAGAAGTGGGTCAAACGTATGCTGACCTCGATGTAGCCTGAATGGTCCAATACAAATAACGACTTGTTATGAATACTTGTTATGCTGACAATGAGTTTTACCCGTAATGTTTCATTGCGAATCCTTCATATTACGATTCTCATTAAATTAGCGCTAAATTTTAACGTGCTGAAAATGAAATACTATTTAGATGCTAAAGTTCACTTTGATGAAATCATTTCGAAATATTTGACAGGTAATTTAGATACTTAATAAGAAGGTGGCTTAATGCTAAGTTAATTTTTCATAAACAAATAAATGTCTAATATATAAATTCGAAAAATAAACACTAGAATTAAGTGCTAATTAAATACCTTAAAAAAATCATTGGAATATGTCAAACATATTTTATTTGTAGCATCAAATTATTGAACAATTTTGACATCTAATTAATTTTGTAATATATTAAAATTTATGTAGCAGGTCGGGAGTTATTTTGACGAGGATCACGAGTTTCCTTTAAAACTAGCTGCCTAAAATCAGTAAAAGATACCTGCGTTTCCTTTTCGTCCCTCTAGAGCAGGTATGTCAAACACACATGTGGCACACACCACTGACAAAAAGGCGGTAGCCAACGGAGACTTTTTGTGTGTGAAAGTTGTTTGGAGAAAATATCAATTATTTTGAGGTAAATGAATTAATTTCTATTTGCATGCAATTTAGTTGGAATTTTGCATTTGAGCAATTTTCAATGCAGTTCTTCACTTTGTAACTAAATATAATAATTGTAAAAAAAAAATCATATTTTATTTTTTGAACATTGAAAACACGCTAATGTAAAGTAGCTTATGTGGCCCGTGATGCAACATTGGTTTGATACGTCTGCTTTAGAGAATGATGACGTTACGGCGCGTGCAAGCGGATCTTGGAATACTCGTTTCTCAGGCTTTTAGCGTGGCGCAGTATTATTGGTGCTCGTAGGCGGACTTGATCTAGATAGTTTGGGACGTGGAAGCCGGAGCACGACCGTGAGGACACTAAGGCGCCGACCTGGTTGGCTGTAACGTTGAATGTGTTACTATTACTACGGTGAATCGGCATATCGATTATTCGACTGCCTTTCGTTATAATCAATCGTGACTCCATCCGACTAATAAAGTGTTACGCGATTCGATACGCGTTTCACAACCGTTATCCGTTTCAAGCGCAATATAAAAGCAAGTGGTCGATTTTAGGAAAAAAATCAGCAATTCCTCGATCGAGATTCTGATTCAGCAAGTAGCATTCGTTCAAGATTGCTACGAGTCGTTAGCAACAGGCTTTCGAAAGTTCATCCGGGAGTTTGTATGAAACTCGGGAAAGCGGGACGCGTGACGGATTCGTCTGTGAGCGGTTGGGATCCCCCGTTCGCCGACGTCTGAGTCCCGGGTTCAGCTGTCCTGGCGCCTCGTGTGCACGTCATTTCCACCTTCAATCGTCGCATGGCGTTATCGGGCGAGATCCCAGGGTCCACGCGCGGTCGGTCCACGGTCAAAGATCAAAGGTACCTAAATCGGGAGGCGCGATGCCGCGATGTGAATCGCGGTGTGTCGGTGCGAGTTCAGTCGTTCGTCGAGCGTCTCGAAGCGCGGTGCCGCCGATCGCCTCTCCTCTCATTTTACGCGACACGCACACCCCCTCATCCGTCCCTTACACCTCGGTGGCCACGTACACGGCACGGCGCGCGGCGCGCGGAGAACGGGCGGTGTACGCGCGAATCGCACGCACACAAGCGCACATGCGACACCCACACCATTCTTGAACCAACACCCTTGAATCGCGCATAGTGATAATTTCCTCTCGCGCGATCGCGCGGTGGGAAACGCGAACAGCGACCAGCTGGAAGCGACAGCGATCTCGGTGAGCAGGAAGGCGCCGAGGAGGAACCGACCGTTGCGCGTTGTCGCGAGACTCGTGAGAGTCGCGAGGTAAGCGATGGACTCGGTTTGCTGTTGTTCGTTGCGAGCAATCGTCCACTATCTGTGGGCGTCAGAAGCTTGGAATTTGCCGCGCATTCTTCGATTCGATGTACCGTAACGTCTTCTACGAATAACGTTGCAAAAATCAATGTTAAACTTTCCATTCGTCCTGCGTGCAGGATTTAAGCGTTACACATCACTTCGTCGGATTTGCAATTTATCTGGCTGAATCAATTGGATCCATATCGGTGATATGATCTCGCTGATATCGAGCGGAAGCGTATATACTTCCTCGAAAGACTCGTTATTATTATTTTCCTCTTCGCGTCAACATTTTCTGGACGATTCTGAATCAAGTCGTTGCATAAACTTCCTGTTTATTAGACTTTATTACTGAGTTATTATATTTCGTTATTATACTGGGTCTATTCTGTAACTCTTAACGACAGTTTCGTTATCGTTATATTGTCGACTTTTTTACCATCTGTAATATCTGCAACGTAAATATACTTAACGATAACGGAATTGTCGTTAAGAATTATCGCATCAACCCCCTGATCGGAAAACCAAATGAAAAATCATTTGCTTATCGTTCGTTGTCAATGTATACTGATCGAATTCAGTCGTTATTAACTCGCGAGCCTCTTATATCATTCCGCAGCAGAATAATTGATTTTGAAAATTCACGGTCAACATGGAACGAGATCGACGGTGATCATGTTAGTCGACGCCTTTATCAATGAACGAAGGATTTACGTAAATGAATATGGCACTGTGCCAGCCTGCAAATATTTATTCGATCTTATTTGCGGGTCCAAAAATGCGTATCGCTATAATTAGAATTTTGCACACTCGTCATCTTATTACATGTTATAACTTAGTTATGAGCTTTATGAGAGATTCTTGTAATTTTAAACGTGTGTGGGAGCGCAGTGATGAAAATGTAAGATTCACATATTGGTTTGGTGAATTATCTTTATACAATCATATGCTAATCACTTCGACATTTTACGCATAAACACAGGTGTAATCGATTGACGAGATAATATACCTCGGTTTTTTATTGCTTTCCGCACACGTGTAACAGATTACATAAAGACTTTTTTATTGTAGCAAAAAACATTATGAATAATTTTCGTTGATATTGAATTAATTTTATTTTAACATAAAAATGGAGAATGTCGTTTCTTATTTCTATGATGATTTAATTTTTGCAATATTTTTTGTTATATTATTTATTAAGTAATTTCCATCTTTTTATTAAGATGAAATATTAACTTTTTTATAAACCCACTCAATCCACTGGTTAAAATACTGCCGGTATTTTCTTATCATTCTTTTTATGTTGGTTTTTTTCGTTTAGCTGTGAATCACCTATGCCATGTTAGAATATACATGAAGACGTACAACACAAACATTAATGATGTTAATTCTCAATGTGTTAGAAATAGCACTCGTATACCGACTACAATAAACATTGCGCAAAACATGGTCGTAAATCGTTTATTTGTTAGCTATATACTTCCGATGAATTCTAGAAGACGATTTTTTATATTCGGTGATTTATGATCACGATTCATCAATCCGTTTTGCAAAGCAGTTTCTTTGTCTATTTTTAACTATGTATATTTTATATTTGTCGACATGTCCGCCAAGCATTAGTGAGATCGGGCGCAGCTGCGAATCGCGTAGTGCATCCGAGTTAGACGGACGTGGATGATCGTCTAGACGGAAACAATCCGTAAAGTAGTACATGGTGGTTTCATCGTTGGCCGCGCACGAGGTTATTAATAATAGCGATGTAGCGTGAAATCTCTTTCCCCTCGTGGTCCCTCTTCCGCTGGTTCTCTTCCGCTCTTGCGGCGGTGAAACGGGTGAAACCGGTTTTTTTTCCTCAGACCGATGTGATTGTGAGTTCGAACTACTTGCCTTAGTAAACGTATAATCACGCGCAAATCGACACATCCTGATTTTAAACGCGATAATTTAATATACGTTTATGATCCGATAACACTTCCTGATCGAGCCGTTTCTATTCAGGTCACATCATAATCTAAACGTAAAAAAATGCAGTGTCTATTTTTAACGGCTAGGAGATTGTTAATATGGATACGCATGTATGAACATTAGTGCACATACTTCAACGCGACCTGTTTTGATAAACAGAACAGATTTTTTCTTTATTCAAATTGTATTAACGTATTTCTAGGCAAAGAGAATATAGTAATTTTCAAGAAGCCTCACAGCGATGAATCAGTGACACGATTTACAGTGTCGCTGCAACCTGGTCGGGTGACCTGGATATCTGCTATATAATTTCGATAACGCTTTAGAAATTCTTTATGTTTGTGTCTAATTATTCAAGATTAGACCGCATTTCCTTAGAGCAAAAGTTTTATTAATCGTTCTACGAACAACAATAAAAAAAAGTTTTTAAACTCTTGAATTACATTTTCTATGAAACTACCATGTATAAGATCACCTTTCATTTTATCTTTCTTAGTCTTCTTCAAACCGCTGTTTTCAGGAAGTTGTTTTCCCAGGTACTCATGAGAGTTCCTCTTGCAATTAGATCGTACTCCAACTCGATTTTTGTTCGGCCTTAGACCATCAGTTTTAAATGCGACGTGGTCGGACGGAAAATTAAAGAGTGTGAAACCCTGGGTTTCTCTGTTTACCGACTCCAACAATTGATCCAATCTGGAATCTAGCA